TAACATGAACAGAAGGCTTTAAATAGACGCCATTTTCCAGTAACAATGACTTGCGGGCTTCATTACATTTATACGTGGCCAATCCTCGTTCGATTCTCTGTCTTGTTTGTGGTTTCGATCGGCAGTCCGCAAAACTACAGTTCGTGTTATTTTGAAATTACGGGGGTCAACGGGATAATAATAATAGTAACGATAATAAAAATAATAACAATAATAATCATAATAATAAAAGTCTTCGTTGACGTGGTCATGGTTTTATAGCGGCCAAATGATAAGTGTACTCAGAGCGTTAAAATCATCGGTCAAATTCCGGGCTGTAGAATAAGGCATAAAGCACCCGAATAAGGGGTTTATCGTATACGGAAGCCTGAGTTGTTCCTTCAGGCGGAAGTGGTCGTTCGGCAAAGCAGGGCCGGTGTTGACTGCGTCCTGTCAGCCTGAACGTTAGTCGGACAATGGTGGCTGCCGCTTTTGTAAGTTTATGGGACAAACTCAAGTGGTGTCCAATTCACGTATGTTGCGCAGGCAAGGGCAGCGTAAAGGTGGCTTGTGTTGCATTATGAATGTAGGGGTGCTCACTTGTGAGTTTATGTCATGGTCGTAAAAGGTCGCCCAACTGCCTGCAGATGTTGATAACTCCAAGCATCCATTACCTGGCACACAATTGTCGCATGTGGTCCCTCGAAACTAGGCTCTGTCTAATATCCATGCCCTGGTAGCCGCCTTGACCGGCGAGCTAAACCAGATCGAGGATATGAAACGTTGTTTGCATCCCTACCTGCCAGTAAAGCTACTTCTCCTCCCCTATAGCCTCATCCATATATCCTCGACGTTTCGGAAGTTGTCATTTCTATTAATTTTTGGATAAGAGTCTTGTTTTGCTTTTCTCGACATGAAATCTTAGGCAACCCTTCGTCGAAATCTGAAAGAAACTAAACTCAATTTGAAACCCAGTGTTCATATGAAAAAAATAGACTTATCTGCTCTGGATTATTTTAACAATTTTACGTCTCGTTACGGATCACTTTTTTCTCTTCTTGGTGTCCATCTTAAAGTAAAGTTGCCAAAACTTAAGTCTCAGCAGTGTGAGAAGCTCATGCCTCTCATTAGCTTGGTTGCTACCGAGACTGAAGACAGGCACATACGAAGTTTCAATTTATATTAAAAAACGTTCCTAAGAGTATACAGCCAGTCAATGACGTTTTTCACTTCCTTTATTTATGCGGCCTCAACTTTAAGGTCGCCGAAAGTAAAAGACTTTTATCTAGGAGCAAAAATCCACCAATTCTTGTCAAACTATTTTCACCGATAGAAGTGGACTTTATTATCTCTCATTTGGGGCGCTCAGTTCAATATCTCAGAGGAAATAAACTTTTTATTATTCGAGAACAAACCCCACTGCAACGAAGAGTTTCTCCCCCATTAACAAACGTAAAGCTAGCCCCGAATTCTAATCATATACCTTTCACCTCTAAAGCAGTTTCTCCATCGGGTGTCGACCAAATCTCCCCACTATCCACAGCGGCCCCAGTTCCATCTAGCTCTTCGACTGATCACATTATCACAGAGACAGTTGAAACAAGCCTCCTTAAAACCCCCCCACGAAGCAAGGATTGTTCGAATGCGGCTCCCAAATTTACTAAGGAGCTTGATCTTAACAGTAAAGATGAGCCAATCCTTGAAGCACAACCGACTCCCAGCACTCAGAATAGTGATTTAGTTAATAAACTTACATCGAATCCACCCCGTTCCCACGCCTGGCCACTCAGGTCTGACTTCGTGGTTGGGTCCAATAAGCTAGATGATAGTTCAGGGAGATCTTTACCTGTCCCTATCCTGAATTCTCAAATTAACGCCCAAGTTGTGAAGCCCTCTTACACATCAGACTGCAAAATGCAAGTATATAGCATTGCTGATAACTTCTCCAATCTCATTGCTAGTCTGACAACCCAAATAATAAAGCCCTTTCCTGATGTTAATTGTTTCCCGAAACCATTACGTCCGCCTTCTAACATAAACTACCCCTCATATAATGCTAACAATTCCCAAAATCCCATTTTCCTGCCTCCTTTTTTCCAACCCAACAAAATAGCTTTCCTCTTCCTGGGTCGTTCTCAAATATTCTTCCACATAATACTGTATCTCTAGTTAGTGGTAATTACCCACAAATTTTAGACCACTGCAACTTTGTCCCCCACCGATTGCTTCGTTCCAGCAGCTTAATTTTCCACCACCAGCTGTCCCCTTTCATAAGTAACAATCAGCGAAACATACATATTAGGAATCCGCTCGGTATTTTCCCTCTCAACGCAAGATCAGTCGTGCAAAAGATTGCACACCTAAGAAGTGTAGCTGTTGAGTTTGACAAAGATGTATTGTGCATGACAGAATCTTGGGCTCACTCTCTAATTTCAGACTCCACGCTTAATATAGGTAGCCTCAGCTTATACCGCCAGGATCGTGTCAAAAGACGCGGCGGTTGATGCCTTCTTTACATAAGAGCCTCACTTGTACAGTCGCCCTATGACTGGAATATTTCCTCCTCCTCTGGAAATTTATGTTTCACTTCGATAATACTTCCGCAAAATAGGAAAACCTTAGTCGGATGTGTATAGAATCCTCCTTGTTACTCCGGAAATGAAAGCCAACTCTGTGAACTCTTTGAAAAAATTCAGAAATTTCTTTCGATGTAACGATAATCGTAGGCGATTTTAGTTTGCCAGAAATTGACTGGCACACACATACTTCTCCTCCTAAATTCCAGAAGCTGCTTGTCACAATTTACTTTTTAAACCTGACTCAATCAGTTCACTTTTTGACCAAAAACGATAGTGTTTTAGACTTAAGTTTTACTAATGGCGCCTTCCCTTTATCTATGGATTTCTATCATGACCCTTTTGCAAGTGATCATGCATTAAGCCATTGTCGCCTTCCATTTGTCATTTCCGCAAAGGCAACTGTACAACTTAGTATTATTGACTTTGCTAATGTTAACTAGGAACTAGTAAATAACTTTACATGCACTGTTGATCTGCAAAATATTTTTTTCAAATAATGATCTAAATTTTTTCAACAATTTATTGCAATGCGTAACAGAATGTCTTCTCGAACTTTCTGCTCGGAAGACGTTCAAATCGAGCGCTAATTCCAAAGCTGTCCCACTCTTTCTTAAAAACAGACTTAAAAAGTTACGGAAGCAGTTTTAAGGTCCTTCTGTGAGCTCATTATCAGTTCATCTTAGAATCGTTGAAATATTTGAACTAGCTTCGAAAATGAGGCTCGCGCGAGAACGGGGTAGAGAGTCTTTAGCTATTAATGACGCGAATGCTTCTAAATCAGTCCCTGCCAGCAGCAGCCCCCTCTGGCCCCCTCATGGCCCCGCCTCATGAGGGGGCTATGAGGGGGCTGGAGAGGGGGCTATGGCGGGGCAAATCCCCGATGTGGCCCCCTCTGGCCCCCTCATCGACAAAAAAAATGCGCAGGGGGACGCCTTATAGTTTTCGTTTTTTGCCCCCACCCACGGACATATTAGACTGTCTGACCGTAATACCGATCCATTAACGTCTAATTACTCGCGTTATAATCCTGATCACCCTTTTCCTAGACAGATTTTCCCCGGTATCTGTCCTATTTTATCCCTTGTTACCTTCTAGCGAACCCCATTTCGCCAAATATGTCATGTTTCATTCCGGCTCGCCTTCCCAAAGCCAATATCTCCCGCGACCGTTAGCGGACCTTCACGCGTGATTGCAAACCCCCCAAACGAACTATATCCATCAGCACACTTGAACGCAATTTATTGGTTAAAGAAAATTTGTTGATCGATAAAGATGAAAATTTGATATGTACAAACTGTCATGTTTCCTCAAGGGACATATTTGGTAATCCGTCCATGTCGGTGGCGGGTATCTACAATAAAATAAAGCACAGCGTCCTATTAATTAAATTGTCAAAAACATACTATTGAAATAAGGCATTTTAGTAGTATATTTTATGATCTAAGTCGTTTGAAGCTGATAGGCTCGAATAAATGCAGGTTTAATAGATATAAAGAATTGTTCACTTACAGTGTCCTCGGCAGTAGATTGTATCATATATTCTTCGGCTGAGCTGTAGCTGACGGGAAGCTGAAAGTGGCTTATAAAGACTCAAGTCAATTAATTTACCGTGGCATTTGCAGTGGTATTGTCTCTCCGCTTTGATCGGCCACCGTATCTGTCACGCGCGCCTTGGAACCAATCAATTGTACTCTTGCGAATTGTGTCAACGGTGCAATTTGAGAAGGCGGCGTGTTCACGAATTGCAGCTGAACAAGTAATCTTAAAAATAAATATCCTACCAATAACAAGGCCATAAAGGGGGCTGCCGACGAAAGCCTGCTTATCTCTTGCTCCGCCCCAGCAGAAACTGAGGCATAGGGGGTGGCCGAGTAGAGTGGTCAGTAGATTTCTGACAAACTCTTTCTCGTTTCGCCCGTCTGTGATCGCCAGACGTTTAATCTACAATCCATTCAAATAAAGAAGTGTCAGTATATGTACATACCGCGTCTTGAGCGAAACTAGCATTCTTCTCAAGCTCACTGACGAAAGCCTTGTAAGCCTCCTTCGTACACAGAGGCAACTTCAGTGAAGGAGGCCTCGCTTCAGCTGGCAGACGTTATTCCTGAATGGCCTTTAAAATTTCGGCCATTGTAGCCTTAACCTGCGTTATGTCAGCCCGTAGTTCGACGAGTTCCTCAGCAACGTAATCAACTTTTTTTCTACTCGCATGTCATCAAGAGTCAGAACAGTCTTACAGGACGCATTCACCATCGTGCTGCACCTGTGATAACCGTTTGTCAAACGCGGTCGTGCTGGGTTCCCGGGCGGCCTTAAGTAAAGTTTAAAAGAAACGGCGTACTGATTAGCCCTTGGTGGCGTAGGTTGGCTGGAGTCTCTCCACCAAGGTGTATTTTCCGAGCTATTGCGTGGTCTAAAAGTTGGCATAATATACATGGATTCTTACTGGAGAATGCGTGGCGGCGTGGGCCAGGCAGTTAATTGATTATCTTGTCTCGGTCTTTGCGCAGCTATTTCTTCATCATCATCATCATCATCCTCGTCGTCGTCTGAGGTGAGCTGGCGGACAAACCTACAAAGATAAATTAATGAAAAGCAAACACTTACTTTTTTCTCATCCCTCGGCCTAATTCGGTAGGCTCTGAGTGGGAAAGATCGTCAGTGTCTACAGCCTTTTTTTCCAGCTGAAGCGCTCTGTCGAGTGAGAGGTCATTCTTCAGCATACGGACCGGGTAAATCTTTGTGCCTTCTGTAGGCCTTTCGTTATTCACAAGTAGACGGTCACGTAGCTTGTGGTTCTTAACCCACATCACACAGTCTTCGCTGTGGAACCAGCACTTCGGCACGGCCGCCACAGCTTTATCATTCACAAACTCAACAACCGCATACATCTTTAAGTAGTGTCCACAAGATGTAAAACCGAAAAATGTCTATGAGATGCAAAACGGAAAAAGTGGGGGATCAAAAATCAAAAAGTATGCAACATGGGAATAAGGTAAAAACAACCGTCCAGGTGTAACGCAACGTATTTACAAATAATGTCATCAAGAGAAGCATTCAAAAGTTTGCTGTCCAAAAGGGAGGCCTTAAAAATGAGTAAATTTGAGGAAGGGGATGAGGATCTAGGCAGTCTTGGCAATCAACAAACTGGCGGTAAACTATGCCTGTAGCCGACACAGATGTCAGTACGCACGGTCTATCGCCGACAAGTACCACATTGTCAGGAGATTGGGTCGACAAAAGATACCCGTTGTGTAATATGGCCTTAGAGCTGCGGGGCAACTGCAAAGACCGTGGCACTCCCTCATCGTCGTCCAACAGCATGGGACCTGTGGACAACTCAGGCAGGCGCCTTTCACTAATGCGCCTGTACACCTGCGCGGCTACGTTCGTCGGTCCTTTAATGTAACTGCGGACGTTTTGCAGAAACGACTCAAAGCGAAAAGCCGAGAAGTTGTCTTCACCCCGAGGCGCCACATGTGCAGCAATTTACGCATTACTCCCAGGCATACTAGGTGCATGTAGTCAATGGGAAAGCAGGCAACTATATCGATGGGTAACTCCTCGAATGGTGATATGCCCCGATGGTGCATGGCCTGCTTTCGCAACCGAAATGACATATCGTCTCGAGGACGCCCACTATATGGCGGAAATGTCATCCGGATAGCTATGGGAATTCCTACATGACAGCACCTAGAGTTGTTCAGGTTAGCTAGATGAACAAACCTACCTATCGCATCCATAGTATCCGTTATGCGCCTTGACTTGGCGGATGTAGGAGCGGGCAGGGGCATCGCAAATTATATTGGCTAGCTCCACTTTTACAATATCCCCTGTACCTGGGAGTCGCAGGCCACCATCAAGAAGTCCTTTCAGTTCGCAAACACAGTCATGAAGAAACTCGTCGACTAGTTCGGGTTTGCCGAAGCCGGAAAATACACCAACGACGAAGGGATCACCAATAACAGGGTGACTAATTCGCGCTAGTATTGGCCAAAGGCATCGACCCGATCCTTTAAACGACTTCATCCCATCAATGTGCAATTTGATGCGCATTTCAGGAATTTCAGTCGTTTGATGACGGTTTACCTCATCCAGCAAAGCTCGCTCATTGCCCAGATGGACATAGTTCCCGTTGCTGAGGACCTTGTTGTTACAAATTCTGGGAGTCTTCAGGAGCGTTCGCGGGTCCTTCGGGACTTCTGGGTGGTAGGGCCGCAGCATATCGAATAAAGCCTTCATCATAGAGAGAGGCATTCGTGTTTCCAGACGTAGTTCTTGTAAATCGGACAGAAAAGATTTTCCCACATTTTCCGTCACATGCACTTGGCTGCCTGCAAAATCTACGCCCACTAATATTCTACATCGATGGAAAAACCTACCAGTGTAACCCTCAGCCGTTAATTCTGGCATTTCTAATTCAGAAAAGTCGCTTGGCAAAGTAGACGCCGATGGAACATTAACCGGTTGGGCAGCCTCCGTTGCGGCATAGTAGGCCATCCTTAGGCGTTGGATTCGCTTATAGACAGTGCTCAGGTTGATTCCAAAATACTTACGCTTAATTTCTACTTAATGTCAATGACAAAAATGATAAACAAAGGCTCAAAGTGCAGCTTTTCAGATGACTCTGCTAGAACGGATATCTCATTGAGCAACGTTGCTCAGATCTTCAGTCAAAGATCATCTGCTAGGTCCCACCAATTCATTCCGCCCTTGCTTAGTGCAAGTGATGCCTTCATTACAGTGGAGTCAGGCAAAGCAGAAATTTTAAATTCGTTCTTTGCCAAGCATTTCACCATTGAAACTGATCCGATCCCTTTAATTTCTTCGTTATCTGATGATTCTCTTAGCTTCATTAATTTTTCTCCTGAATGTATTCAAAAACTGATAAGCCATCTTCCTAACTCTCACTCAGTAGGTACGGACAATATCCCAAACTTTTTTATAAAACAGCTAAGAGATTTTCCTTCTCTGCTTAGCAAAATCTTTTCAGTATTCCTCGTAAATGGCTTCTTCCCTGACTATTGGAAAATTTTATTATTATTCCTGAATTTAAATCTGGCTGTCCTTCTGACGTACAGAAGGACAAAGACTTGAACAAATAATCGCCGTTAAAATAACCGAATTTTGCGTAGCCCTTCCCACCATGGTTTTTTAACAGATCGCTCTTGTGAAACATGTCATCTGTGGTTTCTCAATCTTCTTACCTCTCTTCGTAATGACCATCTATCTGTCGTCGATATTTATTTTGATCTTAGTAAAGCCTTTGATAAAGTACTACATAAAAGGCTCTTAGCTAAATTGGAAGCTATGGGAATTCGCAGTCCACTAATGGACTCTCTCAGGTCATACCTGTCTAATCGTAAACAAAAGGTTTTGGTTGGATATTCACATTCCAGTGAAAGCCCTATTGTAAGTGGCGTCCTACAAGGCACCGTTTTATGTCCTCTTTTGTTCTTGCTTTACATTAATGATATCTCGGCAGAAGCTAAAAATTCTCAATCATTTATTTATGCCGATGATCTCAAATGTGTATATTCTTTCAAAAAATCTACGAGCCTTCATTGCCTGGAGCAAATCCATGCTGACGTGCTTGCTCTCTCAGCTTGGAGCTCAAAATGGCTAATGGAATTCTCTCCATCTAAATGTCGCTACATATGTTTTGGACCTGAGCGGCTACCCCAACCAGCGGTCTTTCAAGGCACACCTATGACTGAATGTATCACCACCAAAGATTTAGGTTTAAGTTACACTAGCAATCTTGATCTCTCGCCACACGCTGACAGAATTACAGACAAAGCTGCCCAGATTTGTGGCTTTATTTCTTACAATTTCTATCTTCCTGAAATTAAATTAAGGCTCTTGTTCTCGAGTATTGTTGCCCATTCTTTGGTTTGATGAATGAAGCCAGTCGTTTAAAAATTGGAAATGACCAAAGACGTTTTTCAAAAAAACTTTTAGATAGGGAACATCCCAATATCTCCTACTCAGATAGATGCCAGCCAATTAACCTAAAATTTTTGTGGGTTCGAAGACTAGAAGCGGGCTTATGTCTCCTCTTTCGCATTAATCAAAGTTCAAATTTTTCTCGTAATCCAGCACTTACCCCTAATAGTCGCCCATACAATCTACGCAACTCGTCCTCGATTATACCTCCTCCAGCGTCATCCACCTCTAAGCGCTCCCTTTTTTTCGCTTCCTGATATACTTTCCTCTGGAATAACCTTCCAATAAACATAAGATCTTCAGAAATTCTACATACCTTTACGAGAAGGCTACGCCTTTATCTTAATATTGACTCGATTAAACTATTATTTTCCTCATCCTTCCCAGACAACTGTTTCTCTGACACTGAGAACGGGCCACCGGGAATTTAGTATGCCGCCATTGAATTTCCGTATCTGTTCACATTTCCTTCAGTTCAGTTCAGTTCAGTTTATTGAGGGAAATGTAGGTCTTCACCTGTGAACTCCCTATTTGTTTACAAACAACTGCAAAATCTCAAAAACCCGAAAAGGTATTATAAAGGACCAAATAATCGGAAAAGCGTCAGGTCTGTACAGACAAACAAACTGTCTCGAATTTTAGTGGTACGAGCAGTTGTAGAGCTGCCGTTTCGATGGCAGCAAAATAAATAATATATCCGGTGATAAAATTTGCATATGTGCATGTCAGTAAGCATAGGCGATGGGTTGGCACAATAATAAATTCAATTTAAAATGTTACTGAAATATAGCAAGTAGTATTATAACAGCGGATTTTGTCGAGGTTACAAAGATCGGGGTGGTAGTTTAGTGGACACTGCTACACAAATCCAGCTTCCTCTTAAAGACCTCGACGGAAGCAGACATAACGACATCCACAGGCAGGGCATTCCAGGCTTCTGGCACTCTGTTGGAGAAGAAGAACTTTCGTGTGTCCAGTCTGGCCCCTGTCACACGTAGTTTGAATGGATGGCCTCGTAGATTTGTGGTGGTTGCTAACTCGAAGAAGTCACCCGGTACGAGGCTTCAGTCCTGACCGCGTATAATACGGAAAGCTTGTATCAGGTCACCCCGTAACTGTCTGTAACTTAAGGGAAAAAGATCAAGGTTAGCTAACCGCGTTGCATACGGTAGTGAACCCTGTCCTGCCACAAGTTTCGTTGCACGCCTTTGAACCCTTTCAAGGATGCTGAGGTCCTTCGCGGTCCAGGGTCTCAAAGCTTGGATAGCAAATTCTAGTTGCGGACGCACAAAAGTTCGAAAGACTTTAGCGAAGCAGTCTTCATCAAAGGCAGAGAAAGCCCGCTTGACAAGGTAGAGGACTAACATTGCAGACTTGGCTATCTTCGTGCAATGCAGCGAGGGTTTGAGCGAGGTCGTAATCCATACTCCCAAGTCCTTCCGCGAGTCCACTTCTTGCAGTGGTATACCATTTAGGCAGTAGGCCATATGGCTCGGAGAGCGAGCTCTGCCGACTCATAGAATTCAGTATAATTCAGTATATATGAGGGATAGAGGCAGAGCCTTGGAAAACCCTATTTACAGATAAACGTATGAAAAAAACATGCAGATATTTGCATAGCGGTTATACCAGTCATTGATATTATGTAAATGTTTGACCATTAAGCATAAGTTTATCTAGTCTTCTTTTGAAGGTCTCGACGTTTTCCGCTAAGACAACGGAGTTCGGCAATTTGTTCCATCCCTCAACCAGCCGGTGAGAGAAGAATTTGGCCCGCAAATCGAGTCTGGCATGTTTCATCTTCAATTTGTATGCGTGCCCTCGGAGATTTGTCGTCCGCGCCAGTTCGAAGAATTCGTCAAACTGAAGAGCACAGTCTAGCCCTCGGACGATCCTGAAGGCCATGATCATGTCCCCTCTGTACTGTCTATAAGAGAGAGGAAATATTTTTAGCTTCTCCAGCCGTCTCTCATAAGGTAAGGTACTTAATCCGCCGACTAGCCTGGTCGCTCTACGTTGTACGTTCTCCAGTAGGGTGTAATCTTTTTTCGTCCAGGGACACCATGCCTGGACACAATATTCCAACATTGGTCGAACGTATGCGCCAAATACTCGGTCGAAAAGTTCTTCATCAAAATTGACGAAAGATCTTCTAATCGCGCCTACAATACCCATAGCTTTCTTTGATACCTTAGCGCAATGAGATGATGGTTTGAGAGTTGACGTCATCTACACACCGAGGTCTCTTAACTCGTTGACTGATTCGAGTTGGTGACTTCCTATAAAGTACTGAGATTCAAATCTCAACGGCCTCCTGTTGCTGGAACGTAATCGGATAAGTTGGCATTTGTTACGATTGAGGCTTAGACACCACTCATCACACCATTTTTCCAAGCGATTTAAGTTGTCTTGTAATTGTACAGAATCTTCCGGCTTCTCTATTGATTGCCACAATTTGAGATCGTCGGCAAACATAACTCGCCCGCAGTTCAGACAGTCCAGGCAGTCGTTCACATATATAAGGAACAGAATTGGACCCAGAACGCTTCCCTGCGGAACGCCACTGTGCACGGATGCCCAATCCGATTTAGCGTTCCCGATACACACACGCTGAGATCTGCCCGTAAGAAAATCGGCTAGCCATTTCAGAAGATTTCCATTCACACCCACTTGACGTAGTTTACATATAAGTCGTCTGTGTGGAACACTGTCAAAAGCCTTTTTGAAGTCGATGTACACGGCGTCGACTGATAAGCCCATGTCAATTGATTTCGTCCAGCTTTCCATGGATACTAGGAGGTTGGTGAGACAAGATCGACCGCTTCGGAATCCATGCTGATGTAGGCTGAGCAAGTTGTTTTCTTCGAGGTGTCGCATCAGCTCCGTTTTTATCACTCTTTCCATCAACTTGCAACAGATGCTAGTGAGACTCACTGGTCTGAAACTATTTGGGGCTGTTCTCTCGCCACCTTTATAAATGGGGCTTATATTTGCTTTCTTCCAGTCGGTAGGCAAAGCCCCGGTCTCCATCGATGTTTTGAAGATCTTGGATAACGGAGAGGCCAGTTGGTCTGAGAGCTCATTCAGAGCTTTCGCGAACACGCCGTCCGGACCAGGGGATTTAGTGGGCTATAGCTGCCTCGAAGTTTTCCTTACCGTGTCTGTTGTGAAGTCCACCGTGCTAACTGTACTGTTGGATTTGACATTTGGGGGGTAAACTCTTTCATCAAAAGCCGGCTCCTCAGTATACACAGACGTGAAGAAGTCGGATAACAGATTCGCATTATCTGAGTTGTCAGACAACGTATTTCCCTGGCGATCTTTTAGGCGGGGAATGCAGTCCCGGTTGCGTTTTGCTTTATTCACGTATCCAAAGAATTTTTTTGAATTTTGCGGGATATTTTTTAAAAGTTTTGACTCAAATTGTGCCCGTTGTCTCCTTAACAGATTCCGACATACATTCCTCTGTTTTTTGAAGTCAGCCAAATGCTCTGGTTGTTGAAAACTTGCGTACTTTTTCCAAAGTCTCCTTTTCAATTTAAGATTCTTCTTTA